CCTGGGCTCAGGCAATCCTTCTGCCTCAGTCTCCCGAGTAGCTGGGACTACAGGTGCATGCCACCATGCCCAGCTAATTTTTTGGTATTTGTAGAGACAGGGTCTAATTTTGTTGCTTAGACTGGTCTCAAATTCATGGATTTAAGTAATCCTCCTTGCCTTGGCCTCCCAAAGTACTGGATTGCAGGCATCAGACACTGTACCCTACCCAAAATGTTCATGTTTGATTGCTATTAGAATAAAAGTGAAATTGTAAACTATGAAATACTTTTACTTTATAATGAATTTATGTATCTTGTCACTGCATTTGTAAATTTAAGTAGACTGTACTTTTCAAAATATGTTCAAGACAGATGTGAGATACTGTATCTTCACACATTCATCAGCTAAGTAATTGCTAAATGTCTCCTCTCCTTTCTTCATTTGTAGCCAGTTTAAAAAAAAAACTTACTAAAATTGCATTTGGAAAGATTTCTTTGTCTGAAAAATAATTATAGATTGACAGGGTTTATGTTTTTCTTCTTGCTCCCCCAGGAAGTATTTGAAAAGGAGCAGTCCATCTGTGCTGCAGAGGAACAGCCCGCAGAAGATGGGGTAAGAACTCGATGATTTTTTTCTGGCAAAGGATGTTTTCTTTACTTCTCAGACTAATTTATATTACTATAGGAGATTAATTAAGTTTATGAAAACATTCAGTTTATCTATTTCCACCAAAAAATTACAATTTCCAAAAGAACCTTTTGCTGAAATTTTCTGAGTTTGTTGTGTGTGCTTTACAGCAGGGTGATACTAACAAGAACAGGGCAAAAGGAGGATGGCAACAGAAGAGTAAAGGACCCAAGAAAACAGCTAAATCAAAAAAAAAGAAACCTTTAAAAAAAAAGCCTGCACCTGTGCCATTACCACAGTCAAAGCAACAGAAACAGAAGCAAGCAAATGGAGTTGTCGGGAGTGTACGTTGGTGATCATATTGTTATTATCTTTAGTGAGGTGTAATGTGTACTGAAATGTTCAAATCATATGTACACAGCTTCTAAAGTCTTACATAGGTATGTCCTTATGGTACCAGATCAAGATAGAAACCCTTCCTGGCTCCCTGCCAAGCTCTCAGTTGCTGACCCCTCTGTCCACCTTCCCATTCTCCTGCCTCTTACTCTTCTCACTGTAATCACCATAACCTATGTAATCACCATAGGCTAGTTTCATCTGTTCTTAAATAAGTGGAATTATTTTATGTATGATTGCTTTCATTCAACATTATTTCTATGACATTATCCTGTATTGTTTGCAGCTCATTCTGTGTGTATGTGTGTTACACATATCTATCTCATTGTATGAATATACCACAATTTATTTTATGGATGTTGGACATTTGAGGTTGTTCATTATTTTTACCTCATATGACTAAAGTTGCTGTGCTTATTCTTGTACATGGCAGTTTGTGGAAATTCACTTTCCATTTAGCAGTGGCATTGCTGGCTCATGTAATGTGTATGTTTAACTCATTGCAAGAGCCTGTTTTCTCAAGTTGTATCATTTTATGCTCCCACCAGCAAAGTATGAGTTCATTTGTTCTACATTCTCACCAATACTTGATTTTACCAGTCTTTTATTTTTACCATTTGGTAGATCTGTAGTGGTGTTCCTTTGTAGGTTTTTATTTGTATTTACCGAACAACTGATGGGGTTCATATGCTTACTGGCTGTTTGGATTACTTTTCTGTTGGGTTGTTTGTCTTCTAACTGATGTGTAGGAGTCTCTTATATATTCTGGATATGAGTCCTTACATTTTTACTTTCTTAATGGTAACTTTTGATGGTTCTTAGTTTTAATGAGGTCCATTTCATCAGTCTTTTGTGACTGGTGCTTTTGTGTCTTGTTTAAGACATCTCTGCCTACCTCAAGGTCATGGAAGTGTTTTTCTGTTTTCTTCTAAAAGCATTATTATTTTACTTGTTATATTTAACTCTGACCTATATTGAATTCATTTTTGTGAATGGCACAAGGTAAGAGAAATGGACCATTTATTCCAGTACGATTTATTGAAAAGATCTTCTTTTTCTTCACTGAATTGTAGTAACATTTTGTCATAAAACAGGTGATACCATATATGATGTATAGGTCTGTTTGGGACTCTCTAGTCCATTTTTTTGATTATTTGTGTATTCTTGTGCCAATATCATACTATCTTAATTAATTGTTGTAACTTATTGTTGTCTTAAAATATGACGGTGTAAGCTCTCCAGCTCTTTATTTTACTAACTCAAAAGGATTAACACTTTCCAACTAAAAAGCTACTGAAATTCAGATTGGTATTCCGTTGAATCCATGATTTGATATGGGGAGAATTGACTTGTTAACCGGCTGGATCTTTTTATTCATGATTGTGGTTTATCTTCATCAATTTGGATCTTCCCTAATTTTTCTCAGCAATGTTTTGTAATTTCCAGGGTAGAGGTTCTAGCACATCTTTCACTAGATAAACTGCTGTATGTATTTGATGCTTTCTGGTGTTACTGTAAATGACAGTAAAAAAAAAATTTATTCTTTAATGTTTGTTGCTGGTATATAGAAATATAGTTGCTTTGAAAATACTGACCTTGTGTCAAGGAATCTTAACGGATTGACAATAATTCTAACCATTGGTAGATATTTTAGTAAAGATTTTCCACATACACAACCATGCCATCTGTGATAAAAGACTTTGTTGGTTAGAACTTTCAGTGTAATACTGACTAGGAGTGATGATGGTGGACACTCTTGTCTTCTCTTTGATCTTAGGAAGAAAGTGAACAATATTTTACCACTAAGTATGATGTTAGTTGTAGGGTTTATGTAGATATTCTGTATCAGGTTAAGGAAGTTCCTTTCTGTGTCTAGTTTACTAAGAATTTTTATCACGAGCAGGTATTGAATTTTATTCAGTGCTTTTTCTGTATCCATGCAGATGATTATTTTATTTTTTCTCCTTTTTGTCAATATGGTGAATTATGCTGATAGAGTTAAAAATTTAAGACCATCCTTGCATTCCTGGAATAAATCTCATTTGGTGATAAGTTAGTATCCTTTTAATATATTTATGTCTATTTGATAATATTTCCTTTGGAATCTTGCATCTGTTTTTATTATCTGTTTTTAATATTGGCATGTCATTCTCTATTTTTGTAATATCCTTATTAGGTTTAAGCAAATTAGGAAGTATTCTCTTTTTTTGCCTGGAAGAGTTTGTGTAAGCTCAGGCCTGTGTTTTTCTTCTTTGGAAGAATTCTCCAGGGAAACCATCTGGGCCTGGAACTTTAAAAGGATTTTCGTTGTGGAGTTTGTTTCTTTAATATACATATATTCTGTATTTTTTTAATGTTGATTTTAGTTTTTCAGTGAGTTTATCCATTTCCTCTAAGTTATTAACTTTGGCATAAAGTTATTCATAATTTCCTTTTAATGTCAGTCGAATCTAATATGGTCTCTTTTATTTCTAATACTTTATTGGTAATTTGTATTCTTTTTTTTTTTTTGAGTTGGAGTCTCACTCTATCACCCAGACTGGAGTGCAGTGGCCGCTCCCGGCCACCGCAGCCTCGACCTGCTGGGCTCCGGCGATCCTTCCGCCTCAGCCTTCCAAGTAGCTAGATATTCTCTTTTTTTTAAATTGAGCATTCTTGCTAGGAGTTTAATCAATTTTATTAATCTTTTGAAAGAGCCAACTTTGGTTTTGAGTTTCTCTTTTGTATAACTGCTTCCTCTTTTCTTGATTTCTAGTCTATTACTTACTTTTACTGTTTTCCATTTAATTTGCTATTCTTTTTCTTCTTGAAGTGAACTAGTAAGAATTTTGCTTTGGGATGTTGGCTTTCCTTAATATACCCTGTCAATTAAAGAAAGTGATCCTACATTTCCAAAGCAGTACTCTTCTATAAACTGCCCATTTTCCCTCCTCAAATAAACTATATTATATAATTGATATTTTTGAAAGCCGAACCATATTAGCCATTGTGGTAGTGTACTTTTTAAATAGAAATAAATACTTTTATTTTGCAAACTATGAAGGAGGAGTAAAATAGCTAACAGTAGACAAATAAGCCTTGTGTTATAAAGTTTTTCAGTCTGACTCTTACATCTTTATAAATAAAAATGTTTATAATTTTCTAAAATTCTGTATGCATAGTGAAATTATAATCTTGAGCCAGTTTAGTTATGCTGATAATTAGGTAGCTTCGGGGGCTCAGATTGGTATGCAGTCATGGAGATATTCAGAACTTTTGTGTTTGCTTTTCCTTTTAGGAAACTGCAGTAAAAGAAGAGGAAGAAGAAGTTTCTGACAAAGGCAGTGATTCTGAAGAAGAAGAAACCAATAGAGATTCCCAGAGTGAAAAAGATGATGGTAGTGACAGAGACTCTGATAGAGAGCAAGATGAAAAGCAAAACAAAGATGATGAAGCAGTAAGACTTCTAGGCTTACGTTGTGGGCATGACAGCTTGGGTGATGGTTTGGGTTTTGTTGTTATTGCTCATTTGTTTGCCTTCCTGTCTGTTTACTTGCCTTAAGCAATATCTGTATATTTTATAACTTTATTACTTTGTAAGAACATTTTTGAGAAGGGCGGTCAGAGTTAAAAAGAAAAATTGTTTCTAACAAGGATTAGAAATCCCCGTTTTCTTAAATTGATAGGTTGAGTAGAACCTGGGTTTGAGGTGAAGTCAGTTTGATCTTTTTAGGGAATTTCAGTGTGGGGAATGTCTCTGGAAATATGAGTAAGGAAAGATGTTTGTAAAACAAGTAGCAGGTGCTCGGAGGGCTTTCTCACAGGTTTTAGGGAATATTTACAGTAAAGAACTAGTACACTGGACCCTGATGTCAAGAGGCTGGGTAAGGAAAAAGTTATCATTTATAGAAGGCCATCTTGTTTCATGGGATGTTAAGAGATATTCGCTGTAATCAGAAGTGTCTGGATGCTGATGGTAACTACTTTGAGCACCTCTTGTAATTGCAGAAGTCAAACGTGACTGGCATTCATTCAGCTTATTGAGTATTACAATTTAATACCGTTTTTTCCTTTCTTACGATGTAAATACATTTTTTGGGCACCCTCTGTTGTATTAGAGATGGGGCATCTTTAAGGAATGTATTAGTATGGTGAGAGAATAGAAAAAAAATCTCATGACACTAAGTTGTACATGATTTATGGGAAGGTTATCAAGAAAATGTGGTTTGTAGTTGCTCACTACAAGTGTACTGTAAACCGATCTGCTGTTTTCTTTATTTTTGTTAGTGTTGTTCTTTTTGATGGGCCACTGATCTAAAAGTAACCCTTATGGCATGGCAGAGAGAAAGGGATCACCCCAGTAGCCTCTGGGCAAGAAGAGGGACCAAAAAGAGGAAGAGGTAGAGAGCAAAGGATGAAAATGTGAGGCAGCCCCGCACTGTCCTTGGGAATGGGGAAACACATAAGGGTGACTGTTAATGGTCTTAGCTGATTTTGTACTTGGAGAATTAAATTGATTGCCAGGAAACTAAAATCCATCAAAGATATTATTTCCCCAACCTCACTTGAGAAGGAATTATCGTATTCTGAGTATATTTGGGTTAGTAGAAGTGACTCTTAGGATTTTGATATGCTAAGTCTCTTCATATGACCAAAAATACATTCATTAAATCAACAAATAATTATTCATTATCTGTCACATCCTAAGGCTGTCTTAGAGAAAGTAATACAAAGCCAAATTTGAAACAGTTTCTGCTCTTAAATAACATGTAAGTTAGTGGGGCAGGCAGATTTGTAAATAGGTATTCCAGTACACACAAGATTCTATACATTGTACTCAAGGTGTATGAGGAGGTGGTGGTCATCACTTCAGTCCTGAGGTAGAAGGAAATTTGGGGGATGCTTTGCTCAGGAGTTCATACGTTAGACTTGAGCTGATCCTGAAAGAATAATGGGTAGGCAGAGAAAGGGAGAAGCAAAAACCCAAACAGGGTTGAGGAGGAGTGAACTAGTTTGTACGTTCAGAGAAGTGTAGGTGATTTGAAATGACTAGAATAAAAAACCCAAGGAGACAGGCCAGGGTGAGATCGTAGCCAGCTGTGTGTGTATGTTCATACTACAGGGGTTAGATTTGATACATAAAAATAGGTGTTGTGTAATTCCAGCACTTGGGAGGCTGAGGCGTGCGGATTGCATGAGCCCAGGAGTTTGAGAACAGCCTGGGCAACACAGCAAAACCTTGTCTCGAGAAAAAATTAAAAAATTAGCTGTACATGATGGCTATTTGGTGGGGCTGAAGTGGAAGGATTGCCTGAGCCCAGGAGGTTGAGGCTGTGGTGAGCCATGATCCTCATGATCATGCCACTGCACTCCAATTGGGGTGACAGGGTGAGACCTCATCTCAAAAAAAAGGCATTGTAAGTTTGTGGGACTGAATTTGTTCTAACCCTAAGTAGTTAATTAGCGTTGTCAGGAATAGTAGCTGCAGTCTCCTCAAAATGATCAGAAACATACTAGATTTCAAATATTTTAATTTTTTATTTACTAGGAATGGCAAGAATTGCAACAAAGTATACAGCGAAAGGAGCGAGCTCTGTTGGAAACCAAATCAAAGATAACACACCCTGTGTATAGTCTTTATTTTCCTGAGGTGAGTTGTACACAGGCTCCTGGGTTTCTTCAGTCGTTTTCTCCTCAGGTGTTTGTCAGTTGACTAATTTTCCTGTGGTGTAGACTAGCTCCAGTGTATGCTAAGTGTGGTCTGTTCTTGAGAGGCTGTATTTTAAAGGATATATTATAATATGAATGACACTCAGTGAATATGTTGTTTAAAAGGGGAATTGCTAGTTTTTTAGGTATTTCTGTGGCTTCCTATGCTTCTGTCTTTTCTGTCCCCAGACAACTCGGTGTTGTCCTTAGCAGTGCTTCCTTAGACAAATGCTTATCTTGTCTTTGACTACTTAACTAATTGTACCCCACATCTTTATAATAATAATTTTAAAAACCCTACAGAAGTCTGAAGAAGGCTTCATAACAACAACAACAAAAAAACTATTTGTGAATCTCTTACCCCTGCTGAGCTTTAAATATAATTTTAAAAATCTTCACACCCCCCCCCATCCTTTACTGGCCACATGGAGCCTCTTGACTTGCTCTTGTCCTGGTCTGTAGGAGTGGGTGGACCCGTGGCTGTGGAACCAGGTGTTCCACAGTTCAGTTAAGAGCTAGGCATGCCTGAGCCCCAGGCTCGGCATAGTCCCTTACAGTGCTGTTTTCCCTGTGTCTTGCTTTCTTTGTGGTTGCGGCCTGGTCAACTCCTGAGCTCCTTGGTAGCTTGTGTTGAGAGATTCCCTTGACATTTTGCATTTAGTGTGACTGTGTGGAGCAGAGGTCAAGAGCTGGTTCCCCTTGGTTCAGGGCAACTAGTCCACAGACTGCCTGACAGCTTTGCTGCAGAACCTTCTGCTCACCACCTGTGTTTGGCAGGTGATTTCATATGTAAATCTGCTTTATGTTCAAGAATGTCAATCCAGAGTTGCTGGAGACTGCTTAAGGCAAATTCCTAAATAATTTGGCTCTTCCGTAATAAATGAGTTCTCTGCACAGGCTGTTTTGACTTGAAGATAAGTCAGCCCAGGGTTTCGCCTTCACACACGTGCTGATCTTCTGGCATGACCTGGACTTTAGCCCATCTGTCAGGGGCATTTTGCCCATTGCAGAGGTAGCCTGCCAACAGCAAGCATCCTGAAAGCATGCAAATACGTTCCACTCCTTGGTTGGTTTAAAAAGTGCCACGGGGTGTTGGAAGCTGCATAGTTTGTACATAGCAGACTGTTTCGTTTTAGACCACACCTTGGCTAATAAGTGAAACATTCATTCACTCCCTTAGAACATTTTATCAGTGAAATGCCTTTTTCAGATTTTATCTGCATCTGCATGGTAAACATCTCAACCTGTCATGTATTAGATATAATTTATTTAGGATTCTCCTAATCTCTGTTTACCTTTCATGTACCTTTCCTAAGTGATCGAACTACCAAACTATCCACTTAGTAATAACTGACTTTCATGTCATTGGAACTCATTGTATAATGTTAAGATGGTTGGGAATTTCACGCAACAGAAAAACATTTTATTTAAAGCGCAGATAACTCACAGGACATCTGTCTCACTTTTAACATGTGCATCAAAGAGTTTAGGCACAGAAATCTAATTTTAATGAAACAACCTGGGAGAATAGAGGGGAAGGCATTTTCTCAGTGGCGGAGATGAAGAAGAAACACATGTTCTTGAACATATTTCTATGCTGCTTTTACTACCTACGTGTTGTGGTAATGTTGTTCTGACAAATGCCGAAATCACTTAACTAAAAGAGGTGTTGTACCTCATTTCACTATTAATCCTAACTGTCATTTATTGCACTCTACATGCTAGGCATTCTAACATGTTTTAGTAGTATTATCTCAGTTCATCTTGATAACATGGCCCAGAGATGGACATTGATTGTATAACAAAAGAAAAGAGATTTTAAGGAGGTGCATAAGGTAGGTCTTTGTGGTTTTAAAGCAGATATTGTCAAACTACAACCTGCAGGTCAAATCTGACTCCCTGCCTGTTCTTGTAAATTAGGCATTGTTTTCAACAAAGTTTTATTAGAACCACACTAATTGTTTTCATGCCTCAAGGACAGATTTCAGTAGCTGCAAGAGAAACTCTGTATGGCCCACAGGGCCCAGGCATTAATACTATCTGGCTTTGAGTCCATTATGTTTGTAGACACTGTGTGTATGCAAAACGCACAAAGACAAACATTATCTGTACAAGTAAGCTTACTGTGTTAGTCCTAACCCTTGTTATTTTTATTTATTTATTTTTTAATTGGAGACAGTGTCTCACTGTGTTGTTCAGGTTAGTCTTGAATTCCTAACCTCAAGTGATCTTCCTGCTTGGTCTCCCAAAGCGCTGGGATTACAGGCATGTCTGGCCCTTGGTTTAAGCAGAATTTAATTTTCTTGTGAGGTACTGCTCACATCATCATGCACTTGTGATTTATTTATTTATTAGGCTTATTAATGTTGCAGTGCTTTGTAGCCTAAGGTATTTAAACAGACAAGTTTTTAATTGAATTCAGAGTGGTATTATTAGAAAGATAATAAGCCACATTTTAATGTTATCCTTAAAATAAAATAGAGCAGCAGTTTTAGTTTAAAAACATTTTCTCAAACTTTCAATAAAATTATTTTTTTAACCATTTTGGACAGTTGAGAGTTTAGACTAGTCTAGTAGTATTTTAGTTAAATATTTTTTTTGTTTTTGTTTCTTTTGAGTCTGGGTCTCACTGTCACCCAGGCTGAAGTGCAATGGCATGATCATGGCTTACAGCAGCTTCGGTCTCCCAGGTTCAGGTGATCCTTCCACCTGAATGGCTGGGACTACAGATGTGCGTCAGCACGCCTGGCTAATTAAAAAAATTTTTTTGTAGAAATGAGATTTTGTTATGTTGCCCAGCTCTGGTCTCTAACTCCTTAGCTCAAGCAGTCCGCTGATCTTGGCCTCCCAAAGTGCTGAGATTACAGACGAGAGCCACTGCACCTAAATGAATATTTAGAACATCCTAGAGTTTATTTTAAGCTGCAAAACATTTATCTTTAAGCCGGTTTCGGTCGAAAGATTATCCTCTCTATCCAACTCTTAAACAAGTGCTACTAAACAGATGACCGAATAGTTGCTGATGTGTGCTGTAATCCAGCAGTGGTTGCTGTGCATACTTCAGACTGTTTAGCCTTCTAAATTAAAAAAGAAGATTTTCTGTCTCTTGTTCTGTCATTTCTTCCTGCTGTCATTGTGTGCATTCTGGTGACAGTTTCTTTACCTGGCTCTTCTGTTCCTAATCTTCTTGGAGTTCAACTAGAAATGCCACACTTATTAAAATAATATGTAGTGAAAGGTATAACTAGGCTCTTAGAATCTGAGATGCTCTTTTATAGCAGTGTAATTAACACTTATATTGTGCCAGGCACATTGTCAGTGCTGAAGGTGTAGCAATGAACAAAACAAGGATAGTGTCTCTAAAATAATTTAGGCCAAAATTGTGTTTCTCCAGTTCTTTATGATTATTTATGCTCTTTTTTTTTCTTTCCAGGAAAAACAAGAATGGTGGTGGCTTTATATTGCAGATAGAAAGGAGCAGACATTAATATCTATGCCATACCATGTGTGTACACTAAAAGATACAGAAGAGGTAATTATGCAACATTGTTCCAGTTTTTGTTCGCTTTTTGTGTCAGGGTCTCACTCTGTCGCCCTGGCTGGAATGTAGTGGCACGATCACAGCTCACTGCAGCCTTGACCTCCCAGGCTCAGGCAATTCTCCCACCGCAGCCTCCTGAGTACCTGGAACTACGGGCATGTGCCACCATGCTCAGCTAAGTTTTTTTGATTTTTGTACAGAGACAAGGTCTTGGTATGTTGCCTAGGCTGGTCTTGAACTCCTGGGCTCAAGCATTCATCCCCCTTCAGCCTCCCAAAGTGCTGGGTTCATAAGCATGAGCCACTTTGCCTGGCCTATTTCACTTTTTAACAATATATGGCATCTTACATTATGCTGCTTCATAAAATCATTTTTTAAGAAAACAGTTTATTATATTTGGCTTATTGTATTCTATTTGTTGTGACCTATTTTATAATTGTTTTCTGATGTCTTTGAGGGTGAGTTCTTTGGAAATTTATAAATACTTGCCGAAGGTAGGCATCATAGTCAGTCTTTTAAAAACTTGTCTTCAACTTGTTTTTGTGAACTTTTACTATTAGTGTCTAAGGACATATGCCTTTCCTCTTCCTCTACAGAATTTAGTGAAATTTATGAGTTTTGTTCTTATTGGATGTGTGCTTAATATATCTTTTGGTTTTCAAAAAAATCTTAAGAACTGCCATGTGCGGTGGCTCATGCCTGTAATCCTAGCACTTTGGGAGGTGGAGGCGACAGAATTGCCTTAACCCGGGGATCAAGAACAGCCCGGGCAACTTGGCAAGGCCTCATCTCTACAATAAATTAAAAATTAGCCAGGCATGGTAGTGCACGCCTATAGTTCCAGCTACTTGGAAGGCTGAGGCGGAAGGATCTCTGGAGCCCAGCAGGTCAATGCTGAGGTGGCCGTGAGCATGCACTGCACTGTCTGCCTGGGCGACAGACTGAGACTATATTTGATTGTCATGCTACTTTAGTTCAGAATACTATTTCTTTTAAAAATATTTTCTAAAAAGATTATCCTTTTTCTTTCTTTCTTTTTTTTTATTTGAGTCAGATACCTGCTGGGCTCAGGTGTCCTTCTACCCAGGCCAGGCACGGTGGCTCATGCCTATAATCCCAGCACTTTGGGGGGCCGAGGTGAGAGGATTGCCTGAGCTCACAGGTTTGAGATCAGCCCGGGCAACTTGGCAAGACCTCATCTCTACAGTAAATTCAAAAATTAGCCGGGTGTGGTGGCGCATGCATGTAGTTTCAGCATGCTATTTGGAATGCTGAGGTGGAAGGATCACCTGAACCCAGTAGGTTGAAGCCGCAGTGGCCGTGAGCATGCCATTGCACTCCAACCTGGGTGACAGAGTGAGACTCCAACTCAAAAAAAAAAAAGCAGTATTGTATGACTAGGAAGAAGACCCTTATTCTTATGAGGTACATGTCAAGTATTCACGGTTGTCATATCAGAATGTCTGCAAGTACCTCAATTGGTTCAGAAAGAGGAAATACACACATATAAGTGTTTTTTGTGTGTACACACACAGTAACAGAAGAAACATAAAAAAGACAAAATGTAAACACCTACTAAATGCAGCTAAGGGTCTATAGAGGTTTCATGATATTGTGCTTACAACATTTCTACAGGTTTTAAACTTATTAAAATATATATAATTATATAAAATGTAAGGCCAAGGGAAAAATAACACTGAGACGCTGTTTTGCACCTCTTGAATAAGCAATGAAATTGGAAACATCAGACACGCTGAGGAGCAATGTGCATACTTAGATATTCATTCATTCTCTCTTTGGAGAAAAATTTTAAAGTATTTTCTAAGAAGATTATCCTTTTTCTTTTTCTTTTTTTTTTTTTAGTGAGACCTGCTGGGCTCAGGTGTCCTTCTGCCTCAGCCTTTCAAGTAGGAACTACAGGTGTGCGCCACCACACCTGGCTGATGTTTTTATTTATTGTAGAGACAAAGTCTTGCAGTGTTGCCCAGGCTGGTCTCGAACCCCTGGACTCAGGCAACCCCCTCGCTTCTGCCTCCCAACGTGCTGGGATTACAGACGTGAGCCACTGCACCTGGCCTTTTTCTTTTCTTTTTTTTTGAGTTGGAGTCCCATTCCTTTGCCCAGACTGGAGTGCAGTGGCACATACACTCATGGCTACCCCAGTGTCGACCTGCTGGGCTCTGGTGATCCTTCCGCCTCAGCCATCCAAGTAGCCAGAACTACAGGTGTGTGCTATCACACCCGGCGAATTTTTGACTTATTGTAGAGACAAGGTCTCGCCAGGTTGCCCAGGCTGGTCTTGAATCTGTGGGCTCAGGTAGTACGCTCGCCTCGGCCTCCCAAAGTGCTGGGATTACAGACTGAGCCACCGAGCCTGGCCCTTTTTCTTTTTTAACTCATTCATGCTCTCGACTTTTTTTAACAGAAAAGGCAAGGTGTTTTGGAGACTATCACTGTGAGTTTGTCTCACTGTCACTCATCCTATTCCTCTTAAATAGTTTATCTGGCAAACCCACTGCATTAGTGATGAATGTCGCAGTGCTTCTCGCCAGGGGTATGTCACATCAGCGTGCCCTGTGTTGCTGATGTTAAGCTCGCTCATTTAGCCAAGGCTTTTCTCTGTTGTAAAGATATTTTCTCTCCCCACAGCCTGTGGAGTGGCGTTTTGGCCCTGTGTGAATGTCCTGTTCGCCAACAGTGTTTTACCTAATCATTTTAGCATATATTGATGATTCTTATCCGAGTCAGTTTTAATGTGTTCATTGTATTCAGTGTAGTTTTCATTTCTATTTCTATTAAGGATGAAACTGAATGCCTTCAGTGCGTTTGAGTCATATTTTTACGTTTGTCTGTCTGTGACCATTGTTCATTTTTGTTGCGTCTTTTAAATTGGTTTGGGATTTTTTTTAATGTTAAGAAATCCACCCTTTATGATATGTCTGCAAATATTTCTTCCCAGTTTGTTTTGTTATTATGGTTGTTTAAAAAGCAGAAATAGAAATGTCTATTTGTTCATCTGTTTTCTTAACTTTTTTGTGGTGTGATTTAGAAAGTTTTCTTTTACAGTTTCTAGTTTTGTGTTATCATTAGAAAGGGTAAACTAAGATTATTCCCTTGTGATTTTTTTTCAAAAATTTTTTTTCTGGCATGTTTTGGTAGATAATCTTGGCTATAAAATCTGAATTTTGCCCCCTTTCCTACCCTGGAGAGGTGAATCTCCTCTCTTGCTCGCATGCTCTCTTGCTCTCTCAGTCTCTGTCTCACTCTCGCTTTCTCTCATTTACTTTCTGAATAAATTTTGTTTGAAAACTTTAGAGTATTCAAATGCCATTTTAAAAAATTTATTCTTCCTTTGTCCAAGTGGACTTGAAATGTATAAGAGTTTGTTACTGTTTGTAACAAACAGTTTATGATTTTGCTTTGTTTTGTTCTGGGGAGGTGAGGTGGGGTTGGGGTCATGGTGGAGGCCAGGGGAGGGGCTGGTTTATGATTTGATGGGAAAGAAAATATCTTCCTGACCTTTTAAGGCATTTAGCATTTATTCTAGAAGTATGAAAATTTGGCAAGAATTCTCTCCTGTTTTGTTTATGTATACTTTTATACCCTACCTAATTTCTTTAAGTTATCAAGATGATAATCAATATAGAATTTGGTTGCTTAAATATGCTTAATTGAACTGTGGAGATACATATTAACCCTATTGTGTGTGTAGTATATATGTGGTAACAAACATTACATGTTTTTTGTTACTGTTTGTTAGGACTTCTGTATAATATGAGTAAACACTTGGCTATTAAATACTCTGGTATAGGAATTTTAGGAGTGAGTTGTTTCCTCCTCAAAATACAGATTTTTAAGTGCTGGTTTTATCTTCTAGGTAGAACTGAAGTTCCCTGCACCAGGCAAGCCTGGAAATTATCAGTATACTGTATTTCTGAGATCAGACTCTTATATGGGTTTGGATCAGATTAAACCACTGAAGGTAAGAATGGTAACTTCAATAAATAATCATGGTTTTCTGTTTGAGTGAGCATTTAATATACCTGGAAAGTATTTCTAGTTTTGAAATGTAGAGTAATGAAAGAAAAAAAGTCATCTCCTACTTTACCTTTGATACACTTTGGTAGACTACTCTTTCAGTAATAAACTTAAGTTGTTGAGTTTGATTTTAAGCAGTATAACAACTTGGAATCTTGAATTTAAATTACTTTCTTGGTACATTTTAATATGCTGTAACTATATTAGGGCCTCAGTAAATGGATTACTTTCTTTAGAAGAGCACATATATTGGCCGGGCTCAGTGGCTCAGCCTGTAATCCCAGCACTTTGGGAGGCCGAGGTGAGTGGATTGCCTGAGCTTGCGGGTTCGAGACCCACCCAGACAACTTGGTAAGACCTCATCTCTACAATAAATAAAAAATTAGCTGGGCATGGTAGCACACGCCTGTAGTTCTAGCTACTTGGAAGGCTGAGGCAGAAGGATCACTAGAGCCCAGCAGGTCGAAGCTACAGTGACTGGGAGTGTGCCATTGCACTCCAGTCTGGGTGACAGAGTGAGACTCCAACTCAAAAAAAAAAAGAAGAAGAAGAGCACATATATTTTTACTTTATATTTTATTGAAATGTTTATTAGTTTCTGAAACTAATTTTGTATCATCTTAGAGCATATACTTTTTGTAAGTGCCATATGAAGCACACTCCCATCTTTGTTTACGTTGCACTTGAGCTTTTTATAAAAGCATTCTGCTGTATTAGAGAGATGGTGCTAAAAGTCTTGTTGCATTGTAAAAAAAAAAAGGCAAGCCTCTCTTTGTCCATGCCGGTTTCACATTCTTTTCTTGGCTATAGAATTTTATTTCACAAGTCTGGAGGATGTAAGATATCTCTGGAGTTTTTATTCCTTCAGTAGAAGACTTCCGTTACGATCTCACTGAGTGTTCTTGCTCAAGAATCACAATTATGAGCCAGGCTCAGTGGCTCAGCCTGTAATCCCGCACCTTTGGGAGGCTGAGGTGAGTGGATTGACTGAGCCCGCGGGTTTGAGACCCGCCTAGGCAGCAAGACCTCATCTCTACAATAAATCAAAAAATCAGCTGGGTGTGGCAGCGCACACCTGTAGTTCCGGCTACTTGGAAGGCTGAGGTGGAAGGATCGCCGGAGCCCAGCAGGTCGAGGCTGCAGTGGCCGGGAGCGGCCACTGCACTCCAGTCTGGGCGACAGAGTGAGACTCCAACTCAAAAAAAAGAAAAAGAAAAAAGAATCACAATTATGAATTCTTTGTGCCACAGAAATACATTCATAAGTAGTACAGCTTATATAAAATCAAAATATGAAACTGTATTAGAAATTTAGCTAAATTTACATGTTAGTAGATTTACTTGTTTTATTTCTGGGATGAAGTGTCTATTCGAAATGAATGTGGTAAATTTAGAGTTGCGTCCATAAGAATGTATTTATTTATGATGGTGTGATCAAAGAAAACCTTTTGTTTACCAGATATTTCTTCTCTTATTTCTCCCAAAATTTCTGATGTCTACATTTAATTCCTCTTTTTAGTTGGAGGTTCATGAGGCTAAGCCTGTGCCAGAAAATCACCCACAGTGGGATACAGCAATAGAAGGCGATGAAGACCAGGAGGACAGTGAGGGATTTGAAGACAGCTTTGAAGAAGAAGAGGAGGAAGAGGAAGATGATGACTAAGCAGTACTATAAACGGACCATGGTGTTGGCATATATTTGCAAATTTTTGCTGTTCTGGAAGTGTATAATAAAACAGACAGTACAGAACTGATGTTGAGGGAGGTGTTAGTTTCTTTACTCTAGAAATGGGTGCATAATACAACTAGGCAGTGGCGGTGCCTTGGTACAATCTGAAGAACGCTTAAGGCTTATTGAAGCCTTTCAAGTATGGGATGGTGCATTTGTTTCATCTGCAAATGATAATAAATCCTTTGTTATTATAACTGTCCAGAAGTGTGGGCTATGTATTATCTGATCAATTTATGGTCCCAGTAAAAGTACATGAAAAACAATTTATAAATGAGCGACTTTTCTTTGTTCAGCTTTAGTTTTAGTAAATGTTAAAGTGATAAACACTGCAAATATGTTTTAGGTAAATATTTGGTCAAGTTTATACTCTCTTGATAAGCTCTGTTACTCATTTATCGACATTTTTCAGAGATGTAAGACCATCACGGCTTCAGTCATAGATTTAAACCTTTTATTTTTACCTACCGTGGTCATAAGTTGGCATTTTCTCACATTCCACATGGTATAGAGGGCTACATTTCAGAATTTTCCTTTTTTTTAATTGCCCAGTGTTACCAGACAGATTATAAAAATGGCTTTTAGTGACTTAAAACATTTTAAAGCGATCAATGCAGGATCTAATTCTTTTAATGAACTGTAGGTCTAAAAGTGATGGTGGGACCATATGTTCTCTGATGTTGGTGGCTTATGTATTAAAGCTTTTTCAAAAGTTTCACTATAAAAGCTGAACTACATTCTTAGCTCTTAATCTACCTGACTTTGTCAGAAACCTTTTAAGGAAAGTAAGTATAACATGCAAAGGAGGTTTTTTTGTATTCATTTTGGACTCCTGTCAATAAAATAGAAGTTTGACTCGTTCTACATTTTCAGTGGTGTGTGTGTTTTTACTACCAGAGAAGGAACATAAGTAGGGCAATCCATTCTTTTATTTTTCAACTAAAATTTGATAATATTGTACATTACTGCTGAAGTGACTATTGTTTCTTGATGCCATAGAAAAACCCAGGAGTGAGAGGATTCCCCCTCATATGTACAACTGGAATGATAGTGCTTGTACAGAGTAGAAATGTGTACAGGATGAATCATTGAGGTAAGGGGAATACCTTTATGACTAGATATAGAGGAAGCATAATTCTGTAGAATTCGAGGAATGATTGTCATTGTCCTTTCCTATCAGCATCTCTGTAGGCCAAAGTACTGTTGGAGTATTAATTTGTGACTTTGTTTCCTTAAAAGGTTGCCAATTTCAGTCCAGATTTACCACTGGTACTTTGTTACTGCAGTAATTGGAAATAAAATTTGAAAATGAACAAAAACGTGAATTTGGGGTAGGTTCTAAATTTTGGATGTAGTATTTCCTATCAGATGATCAGAGCAGACTTATTTCTCTGGAACCTTGGTTGCCAGTTTAGTGAGACCCTTGGCAAGCAGGAGCCTGTGCCACTGGGGATTTGTTTCATTTTATAAGTAAGAGGACAGGTTTAATTTTCAAACCAGGGTTTGCTGCGAAGCACCAGAGTCTGAGGTGGCTACAGATCACCTAAGTGTGTGGCAGGGGGTGAGCCAGCTGGTGTCAAGTGAGAGGAGAGATTAGAGAAAACTTTTGTGTGGCCTTCAGTCAGGGAAAGTGGGCAAGGAGACACAACAATGTAAATAGTATACACATTTCCTAGTGTTCTTGAAAGGCACTTTTCAAGAAAAGTGTCTTTTGTAGTGGCTATTTGCCTTAAAGAGGCTTTGTAAGTTCATTTGGGTAACTGGCTTCTTTCTGGTCTTAAGACTCTGGAAAGGATGATATCACAACCTAGTAACTCACCACAGTGCTTAAAAAACAGTGTCACCTCAGCATTAGAAAACGCCACCATTCTGTTTTCCTTTGCCCTTGGTGTGATGTGTATATGCTTAACAACCAAATAAAATAGATGTTCCCTGATGAACACTTGCGGTAACCTTGTTACATACTGCAACAGTGAAAGAACTGGGCCTCTGGTTCATGGTTCTCTTTCTCCAGCAAGTTGCTGAACTCCACATCCCTTCTTTCTCCCTTTGTGATGAGATAATTTAACCTACTTTGCGTTTAGTCTAATGGAAATTTAAGTGGAGTTTCCATAATCTTCCTATCAAGAAACAGGGACGTTTTGTCAGCAGTTGAGTAGACAGTGTGTATATACAAAATGATATTGGTTATTTATGAAATGAAGTTACTTAAGTTGAATAAGATTTTTATCTCTAAATTGATTAAAACAAAATATAGCCTTCCATGAGGAGATTTTGTTATTGTGAATTTCAGCATTATAAAGCTTGAGGCCCTGATGTATTTTCCTTGTGGACATCTCAATCTGAAAGCCATTCGGATGTTCATCTCCTTTTAAATTTTTGGGTTTTTTTGTTTTTTTGAGTTGGAGTCTCACTCCATCACCCAGACTGTAGTGCAGTGGCACGCTTCCAGCCACTGCAGCCTCGACCTGCTGGGCTCCATGATCCTTCCGCCTCAGCCTTCCAAGTAGCCGGAACTACAGGCGTGCGCTACCACCCGGCTAATTTTTGATTTATTGTAGAGATGAGGTCTCGCCAAGTTGCCCGGGCGGGTCTCGAGCCCATGGGCTCAGGCAGTCCACTCACCTCGGCCTCCCAAAGCACTGGGATTACAGACTGAGCCACCGAGCCCGGCCTCCTTTTAAATTTTTATGAATATGTCTTCTTTGTGAAGAGCGGAACTGTGTACTTTGCTTCTCCAGGCTTGCCCTGGGGGTGGAGAGGGCTGGGCCTGTCCAGCTGTCCTGGTAGTTCCACCATATAGTGGAAAGCCCAGGCCCTGCCCTGGTAGAAGCCGATGGGGCTTGGAGGTCAAGAAACTGAAGGAGAAATCGGGAGAGAGGGACTCATGAGGGTCTCTGGGTGCGTTATTGACCACAAGGTTATTCAACTACTTGCTTCAGCCAATTCAGACCATCTATTGGAGTGTTCATTATAACAATTCTTATTTTAAATCTAATTCAGCACTGAAATGATTTTTGGGCGGGTGTTTGTCATTCATCAAATTTACTCTGTTTTTATGTGATTAATTACAGGAGGTATCAAGGTTAAAAAAATGTGCTTTAAGAACTTGCTGGTAGATAAGTGGCAATCCACTTTAATCCATTTACCTTGGCCATTTTTTGGAATGCCAGTTTTTTCTTAAATCTTTCCACTGTAGGCAGAGGAATTATTCTTTTAGGAACTAGCTATTTAATTTGTTGCCTTTTTAAAAAAAAATAGGCAAATCTTCATTTTTTTATTTTAGATTTTTTTTAAAAGCCTCCCCCCCCAAATATTCTGATGCAACTCATAAAATTCCCTCTGTAGTCTGCCTTAAAGTGGAATAACTATCAGTGAACCATACCATAACATTTCATCAGCTTGTAGTGATTAGTCCAAGTATGTCTCAAGATGTTAGCACCAAGCATCTTCATCTGTTTAAACTTGATGCTAGGGCTATTTTGCAAAACTTAAAAGTGTGATCTTGTACATTTTTCTGTAACCTGAGCTAAAAACCCAAATAACAACAATCATTGACATGCTTTAGGGCTGTTTCAGGTAGGGATGTATACATCCCAGGGGTATGGAATTGATCGATCCATTGAGAGTGTGAAAGTGATTATTTGTATTTAATCTCATCCTTTTAAATTTCTATTTTTGTGTGTTTTATAATGTACATAATATATTGTACAATTGTACACTTATATAATTTATAAATAAATAACTACATTTATTGGTGCAGTATATATTTTTTCTTATTTGGGTGCACGACCATGACATTTGGGCATCACTGCTTTGTGGTACTGAGAGGGTGACATTTAAGCTGGGCTGAAGGTTTGGGCCTTTGGCATTCACCCCTGGAGATCATAAAGTGATACACTCTGGAGCTGAAGGGTGGGCTTTTCCTCTCTCCAGCCCTACTGTAGTCCCCAAGAGCAAAGTGATACTTTTTTGGTGTGGTGCTGAGTAGAGGAGAGTTCCAAACAACTGTTGTCTATGAAATGTGAGTAGCACAGGTGAGGTGGGGCAGAAATGCTGGGGCTGGTGTGCTAGGAATTTGGGCAAAGGCGATGACAGTCTGTTAGTGGTCCTGGCAATCAGTGGCTGCTACAAATCAAAGGTGAGCAGGGAAAGGACTGGCCACTCTCTTTTCAGCACTAGCTTGTTCAGTATTCGCCTATCAGCCAGAGTACACGGAAGGAACTGTGTCCCTCTTACCTATCGGAACACCTGAGGTTTACACTTGAAAATCTGGATGATGGCAGTAGTTGGACACGACTTAGGCATGAACAGATTCCATAAAGAGTAACCTCGAGCTGCTGCTCTGTTTTCCTGCCTTGTTCCGGTAGAGGGCGTTAGGGTTATAATTTTCTTTAACAAAGAATGGTTTAGTTTGTGTTTAGTTTCTTTCAAGATTAAAGAAACACTTTGTAATTTACTGCTGTCTGCACCTTCTAGGCTTACCTTCTTCGCCTTTAATCTTTGTATTCCTTCCTAACCTTTGTCTTTCTTGCACATGTCCTTTAATACATTGAATTTGCTTGTAGGTTTTGTGACTGAAAACATCTCTTTGCAACAAACTCCAGAAGACAACCATACTTATTTATTGTGCTAGAATTGCATTAGATTGTGTACTTGAGAGATGTAAGCGTCAGGACACAGACATTCTTTAACTCTACAAAATGGAAATTTCTTCCATGGTTGGTGTCAACCATGATGGAGGGTCTGAAATTTTCCTGAGCAAGCTAACAAGTTAACCTGCTAGTGCCCTGGGCACAGGAAGGAGGTGGGGGATTCCCAGGTAGAGGAATAGCCAACAGGATGACCCGCTTGTCTTCTGTCTGTTCTAGTCTGCCAGGTTCCGTGAAGGCGACGTGTAGTTATGCAGGCAGTGGGTTCGTGTCACAGCTGAGAAACTCCAAGCTTGGGAGACTGCATCTTATAAAGGGTCTGCCGCAAACCTGGCCATCTTCACCATCCTGGGCAGCAAACAGACCTGCCCTCTTTCTTGAAGGGGGACACTCTGATGCTGTTCTCTGTGTCCATCTCAAACAGACAAACAAAACCCCCAAACAAAACCCACACCCTTACCTTCCAAACTGAACATTTGTCTCTAAGAGAGCCTGGATCCTTGTAGAATAGTTGCTATTCTTTTTCCAAATATGCTGCCCAAGCCCAGGAAGTCATTAGACCTTCTTTGGTTGAAGTAACAGGAATCTGAAATATTCTGAACAGTCTTACTGGTACCCAGGTATCCTCTGAGGAAAGATTTTGTGTGTGTGTATTTAATTACAAAGAGTCATTTAGAGATGATGCAAGGAATAAGGAGGGTGATCAAACTTGATTAAAAAAATAAGGAATGTGACTAAAATTCAGTGAGAGACTTTAGAAGTCCTGCTCATTAAACCAGGCCTGAGGACCCCCAAGGTGGCATCCAGCAGCATCACTGAGATGACGCCAGTCTCCCTGGTCTCCATGCGTTAGCCTGTGTCTGTGTCTTTGTTCAGCGAGTCTGCTTGCTTTATAATCTGCAGGCTTCTTATTTCTTGATTCTCTGCCACATTCTTGGGCTTCAGTCACTGTCTATGCTCTATGTCCCGTGGTAAATTCCTCCAAAAGCTTACTGTTCCTCTTCTTGACATGACAACACCTATTCGAGGAAGAGAAGGGGGCGAGCCAGGAGAGGTGGGCCAAATTGAAAGGCGGCAAGGCAGCCCTTTCAAGAGTCTCAGAGTCGCTGCTGTCCCCAGCCAGCTCCTGCCTCACAACGCTACAGTCACTCTCTTTCCCACGATCCCAAGGAGAGTTCGCCCCACCTACCCACCCCTGCTCACAAAACGCTG